TGGGGTTGTGCTCCTGGAACTTATTACCGGACGAAAGCCTGTTGACAGCACAAGGCCTTTGGGTGATGAGAGCCTTGTTGAGTGGGTAAGTTCTAAAATTTGAAGTTTCCCAAACTTTGTTCGCTCGTGTCATCAAGTTAATAAAGTAGCTTAAACAACAGTAATTTTTGGATTTTTTTTTTCAAATTTCACTATGACTTTGAAGTGTATGGGCGAGTCGAATAATCATAAACATCACTTGAATTTGGTGTTTGAGTTGATGTATCCCAGCTACCAAGATTGCATCAGGCAACAGAAGTCCTCGTTCTTCACATTACTAGATCATATTAAAGTATACCATAAACTAAAAGCAAAAATTTTCTGATTAGTAGTCTTTCACCTGGACAAGTAGCAGTTGCTTCAGGCTTACAATTTTCTTTTAAGCCATAAGGTTTATCTAGTGCCAAATGAGAACTATATCAAAGCCAGGTAATTGCGAAATTGAAAGGTTTAAATCTCTAGGATTTCACTTTGTAGAGGTTAGACTCTTTTTGGTATCTCATAGTAGAGGATGACTGATAACCTGCTATGTGCTTGATAACTAGTATTCCGTTGCTGATAGTGCAATTGTTATATTTGGTGTTTGGTCGGACCTGCATCAGACAAGCAGGGTCCCTCTACTTTGAAACTAAAACGAACCATGTACTACTAGAGAAAATGGGTTGACTCTTGACTGATTAGAAGTGCTATAACACCTGCAAAAACACCTGTCCTCGATCTCCGATGCTGGAATGAAAATTGTGCTGGCTAGACGACATGCTCCAGAGCATTGTTTTAGTTACTAGTATGCAAAAAAATAGAGTTGTCTGGCTTTACTACATCATCCTCTAAGTCACCTTTTCTCTTGTCTCGGTTTCAAAAAATAGGAATCTGCTTCATTAACTGCTAATGAAATTCCAGGCACGACCACTGCTTTCCCGTGCACTTGAAACTGGAGAACTTGGAGAACTCCATGACCCTAGACTTGAGAAGAACTATGACGAAACTGAAATGTTCCGTATGATCGAAGCAGCAGCAGCATGCACCCGTCACTCAGCAGCAATGAGACCTCAGATGGGAAAGGTTATGATGAAACACTATAAATCAACATGTAAAACGAATACATTTCGATGCATCCTAAGCAAACTTGTTCTTGCTACAGGTGGTCAGAGTTCTTGATAGCCTTGCTGATATTGATCTTAACAATGGTGTCACACCGGGGCAAAGTGAAGTGTTCAACGTAGCTCATTCAGCTGATATCAGAATATTTCAGCATTTGGCATTTGGGAGCCATGATTCTAGTTCTGATTACAGCCCGTATAATTGGAGTCGTCAAAGAGATGTGTAAATAGGTCATATAGGGGACTTGCCAATGAGAAATTTGTTTCTTCCTTTTGTATAGTGGTTTTCCGAAATCCAGATTGGACTCGAGTTCTTCATTTTTTTAATGCACATTTGATGCTTCTTGGTATATTATTTATTCCCTTGTCTGTTCCTACTACCAGAAACATTCAGGGGAAGCTGTTTTAGGCATGCGGAGGTATATTCTTATGCCACTTTAGAAGTTGAATTTTTAGTGAGAATCTTGTTGTTTAGTTAATGTTTCAGCAAATAGTTGAATCAATCAAACTTATCTTTGCAGGATCCATTATGCCATCAGAATAGTGACTGCTGCATGAGGAAGAAGGAGCATATTACACTATCTTTTGAACAGAGAGACCTTTAGAAAGATAGCTATCTAATTTAGCATTGTCTCTGTACTAGTGTAGACTGGCTGCTTCCATTAACCCGACTTGGATGTTTAGATGTTGAGGAATCAGTCATCCATTCCTTTCATATCTGATGGTATGTATTTTGTTGCTTACTATTGGCTGTAGCTTCATGAACGGATCCTTCTACCACAAGGCAATGCATTTGGGTTGATTGCACACAGTTTTACTTGAACTTTTAATGGTGGTCCGGGGAGACGTATGAACCTGACACCGCTCCGGTGATGTGATGGATCATCTGCATCTTGAACCACAAAGAGAGTTGCTGTCTCTCTCTCTCTCTCTCTGAACCACAAAGAGAACTATTATCTCTGTCTCTCCTCTCCCCCCGACACATCGGCATCGCAGTGGTAAATGGTTTCACCAAAAATACCTTTTGCTGAATAAGATAGTGTAACAAGTCCTATTCCACCGGTCGTCGTTCGATGATGCTTGTGCTTTCCGGCAGTCTGACTTTTCGACCCTCCTCGCCCTCAGAAGTCAAACCAGCAGCACAGTGTTCAAGGATAAGTAACTTCTCCTGGAAGTAGGCAGGAGGTTGAATCCTCCTTTCAGGGTTTCGTCCCCAGATGGTGCTTTTCTATTTTGGCTTCGATTCGCACCCATGTATTTGATCGACCTCTTTGCTACTCCTACAAAGAAAGAGAAGAACACTGGTTTGCAAGACCCTGGCATTTCCGTCGGACTTATGCATCGTCTCTTTATTTCATTGCATCGCGTTGATGATTACAAGTAGAGATAGAAGCTGATGCTGGTTTTAGAATTATTTTCTCGATGGAAGAGTCTCAAGTTACAAGGAGAATTTGAGTATTACCTAACAAAAGGGAAGAAGGTAGGCTTCACTGTACTATCCTGACGTGCAGAACTCATCAAACTGAGGCTGTTTAGAGTTGTGTGTCAGCTAATATTACGTCTCAACAAAGATTCTATATGTTTCTATCTCCGTGAGTAGAAAAGATGATATCAATAGCCTCCTTTACTTTAGCTGCTTTCCCCCTTGTGCAGACCAGAACTCATCGGTTTCCAACACCTGCACGGCAATCAGAAATCTCTCTCACTGATCACAGAAGTGTATGATAGAGGACGAGTAGAGAGAAACTCGAATTCTCAGCGAAGTCAATTACCTTCACTTGCATCTGAAGGAACTTCACATAGTTAATGGCCTTTTCGAGCATGACCTGTGAAAATTGCATGAACAATTAGAAGGGATATAAGACAATTAGATATTGGTAAGATTGATGAAAGGCACGCACACCTTTGCCCCACTGGGCACAATATCTTGAAGAACCCTAAGGCGTTCTGCAACCACAAATTAGCTGTCGATAGAGTTATTAGAACCTTCAGATGTTTCAACTTGAAATGGTAACCAAAGTAAACACCTTTGCTGCAGCACCCTGGGGATGCTTTGATGGACTCTGCTTGTTCTTGGTCGTTCTGCTACCACCGGATTGCTTCTTGGGACTTGGCACTTCACCATCCTGCATTGACGATTGCAATGAAATCTGTCGATCACAGATCATTATTTGAATTATACTAAGATGGATTTGATTTGGATATCAAGATGAACAGAAGCACCATGGATGGGCGCTTTTGGTGGCCTTCTCGCTTGTGTGATGCTTCGTTGTAGGATTCCAACCTCGGGGGCACCATGATATCGTTTACCTTCCACTCGACCGCCCATAGAACTGTAGGCACTTACCATCTCAGCATAACTTCGGTCCTCGATTAGCCAAGAATCAACAGTGCCAGGGGTCATATCGAAGCTGAATCGCTTCGAAGCATCATAGTCGTCCTCAGGGTCCAAGTTCATGTAGTTGCTGCTGCTACATGGCAGTCCATCACCTTGTTCGACCAAGGAGGAGTTCGAGTAGCACCAGCTACCAAACGCTCCCTTGTAGTCAATGACAGAGAGAGCCTGTTGCCAAGAAGAACTCACCACTCTGCTACTAGATGAGTTGCCGGGATCAGATAGACCGGGAGGGAGAAGGCTGCTTGAGTAACTTCTCAGGGACTCTGAGGCTCCTCCTTCAAGCATCAGACTGTTCTGGCGTTCATAGCCGACTAACTCGTTAAGACAAAGCTGGTCTAACCACGAGAGCAGCTTACTCTGTCTCAGATGCCATGCACATAAAACCTGGTGCAGCAGCACGTTAGAGAAGCATTGAATGATCGAGGTGTGGATGGCCGGTGTCGCGCGGCTGCACATCATTCGCAAATAAGTCTGCTAAACACTCCAAAGATAACATCGAGAGAGAGAGATGTAGAACACAGCGGAAGGAATGGCTAGAGAAGACGGCAACAGAGATCGAGGCCCCTTCCCGTTCTGGCTTAAAAGCCATGTTGAGGTATGTGCATCATCTTCCTCGAAAGAGCTGTAGTTATCTTGAGTATTATAATGAAAGGAGTGTATCCTTCCCATCATTCGGTTGCTAAGCCTGAGTCCTCTAAGCTTCCCAGCAGAACTAGCAAAACAGAGCATTGAGCAAACGGGAAAGCATATCGAACTCTTCATTGTGTCGTTCTTCAACAGTGAGAACGAGACTTACAGAAGCCAATATCCAAGAACAAAAGTTGAATAAGAGTGAATCAAGAATTCCTCGGAAAGGAAATTGGAATCTTACTTGATGATTAAACAATTTTAGGAAAGATACTTTTCTATCAAGTCATGCATAAGAAAATGTCGTTATGTTTGTCTTTCCACTGGATCTTCACGTTCATCAGCCTCTTTACCAAACGGCAGCAGCCATTCCTGCCAACCTTCCTTCAAAACTACCGGTCACAGCCAAACAGTTTCACGAGTCCGTGACCTTTGCAATGTCTCGTCGGTGGCTTACATGGAGACAACGGAGTGAAAGGACGAGTCGTCGCATTTTGTTTGACGAAATCATTCAATGTTTTCTGCTCCATGTCTCACGGCCATGGGGCAGCCGCAACATGAAAGAAGACTGCAAACCTCAGGCTCCTGCACAAGCAGCCATCGAGCTCTTGACTTAGAAGACATTCTGCGAAGGCCACCAGAATTGTCGGCCGCCGCATGTGATCTCCCATGCCAAACACTTTGAACACGAAGGAGCACCAAATGTTGATATGTTACAGTGCCTTGCATTCGCGTATCCCTTTTACCTTTGTTCTGCTTGAAGACTTGGAACCTTTGACTCTTTTCTTTCATACTTTTCTTGGTATTTATGGTGGAAATACTACTTTGAGGAAGAATTATTGCTCGAATGAAAGAGCTATAGAACAATAACGGAGTCCAAGATTGTCGGTAATTTGGTCGAACACATGGTATGTATCGTGCAAACTTCACACAAGTGAACAGAGGCATCACCCTGAGAAGAGTGACGTTCGCTACGATTTGTAGCTAACTCAAAACTACATCTAATTTGTTCTGAAGTAGACTGACCGACCGATGGCAGAAAGAATCGAGAGAAGAAATGCCGCCTCCCTCTGCTACTGGATCATCTTCTCCAGTGCTTCCCACAGAACACCCTTGAACCTGTTCACATCGAGCTTCACGTTCTGGGTCTTCATGAACGTCGACCTTACGACTTTGAACTCGCTGCCGTGGAACGACATAGGGTCCGTGAACACACGGTGGTCTCTTGGATACTGCTCCGTCAGAGTGCTCTCTTCTATGGTAATGCTGTGCTGCAGGTACTTGAGCCCCATGGCCATCGCAGGGTACCCAAAATCCAGCATCGACATCCACTCCAGCCCACCCCACGGAACAATCTGAATCATGGTGGCGTTCAGCGGCAGGAACACAAAGTTGGTGAGGCCAGCGCCGTGCACCCCCATCATCACGTCGCAGGAGTTGACGGTCCGCGCGAACTGAGCCATGTCGGATGACACATTTGCTTCGTCGACCACCACCTCGAAACCCAACCCCTCCGCCATCGCCACTATCTCGCCGACGTTGGTGAACGCTCGCGTTTTCTTCCGCGCGATGATCAGCAGCCTTGGCTTCCTCGCAGCGAGGTCTTCGATGTTGTTCACCGTTTCTCGCTGCAACGAGTAGGTGCTCCTTATAAATCTGGTGAAGTCGATCAAGGTGTAGCCATTGGGAGCTCTCGCCGGGTCGATTTGGAACTCCTGGTGCGCCCGAAGGCCTACGATGACCTGCTTGAAGCAGTGCACTTCCTCGTCGCCGTCGAAGTCCATCACCGGGTACTTGGACAGCCTCTGGAGCACAAGACGGTACTTGTTGATCCACCAGCGCCGGAAGTCGGTCACCACGAACTGGACCTCCCCGTCGAACTGGCGGGCGGTCACGAATAGAGGAATAAGCAGGTCGCTGAAGTCGTGGAAGAGGTTCCCGGTGTACCCGCTAACGGAGAAGACTATGGCGGAAACATTGTGGTGGACGGTGCATCGAGGGGCTTCGCTGGTGGCTCTGATGGTGAGTTCTCTAACCTCGCGGAGACAGGTCTCATCTCCTTTGCGAGGATATGGATGGACTCGCCATGCTTCTTTGTGCTCAGTGTTGTTGGATGACTCCATGAACAGGACAGACGAAGAGTTCCCGGGAATCCTGATATCTCCATACAATTCACAGATATCTACTCGTTCGTCTGAAAGATCACATGATGACTTCCTCTCCAGAGTTTGGATTTGCTCACCTCCTTCTTCGCATCAAAAAAAGATTTAGGAAGGGTTAAGAGTCGAACAGAATAGATAAAGGGATTCAGTTCTTTTTAGTGAGGTATGACTTATGGTAATAATATCTATCTCATGATTAGGAATATTTATGCTTCCAAGTATTTAATGTTCCAAGTATTGACATGATATAATACCTGTTAGTTCATCAGTTCTTGCTACTTCCTGCGAAGTGGAGTCAACAACGATGGCATTCTTTTCTCCTTGGATACTCTTCTCTTTCTCATCATTGCTTTCTGCTGCATGCGGAGCACTGTTAGCTTTTACAGATTTAAAGCTAAATCGCCTTTCAAAAGGGAAAGGGAATTGCATATCAGCCGAGGAATATGGAACACAAGCGCAAGTAGATTACCTGATGCCTGAGAGTTTTGTGGATCTTTCCGTCCCGAAGCAGTGGAATGCCTTCCGTTCTCATCTCCATTCAACACATCGTCACCTAAAGAAAGATGAACAAAGCCAAAACCTTTCAGACAACCAACGCCAATACGAGCTCAAAATAGCATTCCCATGCCCTGCATAAGAGTAAAGCATCCGAGATCCGCACAATACCTGATAATGGAGTCGGCATCGATGTCCTAAAACCGACTGCAACACGAATCAGCGCGGGTTATTAGCTCAAGAACAAGGAATTAGCAGTGGCAACATAGACGAAGGGGAACACGAAAGGAAGAGCGTAGCTTACAGCTCGAGCGAACAAGTCCCCGAGGCTTAGACGCCACCAAATAGGTCATCGTGACCAGGAAGCATCCGACGAGGAGCATCACGAGTCTCAATCTTCGCGACTGGTTGCCATTCCTTGCCAGCTTCAGTTTGGAGCCCATCTTCATCGGCTCTGTTGCAGCACCGCTCCTCTCTTTGCTCGTAACCGAGCAAGACGGCAGCCTCTACAACAAAAAGGCGCAGAGTTCGGGGACATATAATGACTATGGGTATGAGTCATAGGGAATGGGTGAGTGTGACAAGGACCAAATATGTAATTTTGACTCCTCAAACAGGAGGCCACTTCCTCCCTTTCTTCTTCTTCTTCTTCTTCTTCCTCCACATCTTGGTTTGCATGCTTGCGAGTGGCGTGGGTCCACCGGCTTGAGGTTGGAGCGACTTGGACCGGGTTAGACGTAATTCTATTCCTGAGAAGGAGCAGGAAAGGATGATGGAGCTTCACTGCTACCATTTACTTCACTGAAGATACACATGCAGCAGAATTGTTCCAACCGGGGGGAGAGCCAACTCAGGTCTTCTGGTCCAACTAGAGAAACTAGAAGAAGCAGAGAAAAGGATTTTGGAATCCAATAATACGTTCGATGTAAGATGTAGGAGGGAGTGATCAGCTCGTGCAATTATTGAGTAAGGTGGTGGGTACAAAAAGGTGCAGAGAAAGCAGAATCTTCCCAGCTTTTACTGCAATGCTCCTCGAGTCACTTGCTTCAAATGCATGACAGGTGACGCAGGAAGAAGAAGCAAAATGTACCGTCGAAATGCCGCCTACCGACTCTGTGCCTGTCCTCCCACCATTAGAAGTCCGTCTTTAATCCGACAGAATCACCATTTCACGTGAACCGCATATCGATTTCCCTCGGTGATGTATTAGTGCTGCACACACCACCCCGTGGATGCTCATCTCATCTCATCTCCTGTACGAATTCTATAGATGACAGATGAGTTCGAGTGAGAGACCGATCAAGGTCAAAAAATCTATATTAGAGCAGACATCAATTCAATCAAAATATTTAGATTATGACATCCAATTTTTTCAATTTGCATGTAGTATTTTGTTGGTAGTTAAATTGTCATGTCAAAGATCTTAGTCACGAAGTCAAGCAAAATCTCAGTCCTACATCTCGAAATGTTCATAGGCCTTTGTCAAAATGTCGGTAGCTATTATTTTAACTAAGAACAAAAAAAAGAAAAAAAAGTACTTGATTTCGTAACCCCATTTAGCCACACTTGAGATTATATCTCATAATTACCTTATTTCACACAATATCATTTATATGCAACCGTGCTGAGTGTTGTCATCCTCCTTCGGACTCTCCCGGTAGATTGAATTGTACTTTAGATTTATTTTTCTTTTGATGTTGAGATTTTAAATCGATTATGAATAAATCGGAATCAAATGGGTCAAAGTTAATATACATTTAAACATGAATATTCTTAACGTCACTTACTTTTGACTTTGCTGTGACACAAATATCTCCGGAAAATCATGTAAGTTAATATACATTTGATAAGATTATTTAGTCCTACATTGATTGATTGAAGAGTATGAGTATGAGAATCGATGACTCATAAGTCTGTTAGATCTTTCTTATCATAATGGGTGATTTTTAGAACTCATTTGTTCTAAAACTAATAAAAACGAGTTTGTTAAAGCAAACAATTCCTTACTAATCATACGAACAGGCCGATGGTCGCTTACTTTTGACTTTGCTGTGGCACAAATGTCTCCGGGAAACCGTGTTCGGCAAGTCAATTCGTCGGCACATCTTTTTGCCGCGTGCTGTGAGGTTCGTCCGTTCGGCAAAGGCCGAAGAATTTGTCGACGCCTCAACCGGTCATCTAATCTGAAAGCAGATGGTTTGGTAGGAGATCGGACCAATATAAGAAGATGCCGAAGTTATCGAGGCTGCTCTCGTATCGGTCGTCGTCGACGTCGTCACCGCTCAAGCTGTCATGCAAGTGGTTTCCGACCGGAAGCCATTGGCGGGTATATGAGTCACCCATTTCCGCACGTAAGCTATTCGCTCTTTTTCCTCTGTGGTGGGATCGAGAAGGACTCGTGGATTTCGATGTGTTCGATTCTGCCCATTTTAGGTATCCATTCATCCATCGATTATATGTTTCTTTTTTGCTTATCGTTGATAATGTGCTTCACCTGCCATCAGACCCCCCCTCCCTCCACATTCGATCACATCCCGAGAATAAAATTGTCATACACAGACAATAAGTAACGACCGACGACGACGATAACATCGAGGGGTTGACATATTCTTTTAGATTCTTAGAATCAACGTTAGGAATTCAACCATAGGACTTTTTTGTGTGAATTATTTTTTGAAATTAGGATGCATAAATAACACATACATCTTAAATTTCTATTGGGGACGCGAGTGAATACTTTAAATACTTTTAAGATTTACATGTTTTGATTGCGATTGACTGAATGCATTTATATCTCGATTTCATCTAGCGAAGATCTTAGATTTTCTTCATGCAGTGAGAAGCGTTGAACCATATAAATCTTATATTGACTCTCTCAATTATTATGTATATGATATAATGTATATATAAAGGGATTATATTTTAATTTTGTGATTGACACAATATATTTTAATTTTCATGGACATAGATGAGGATCATCAAATCATATAAATACTCCCTTAGGTTTGTGTTTACTATTAATCTCTTTTTTTTTTTCTTTGCTTATGATATCAAAGTCTTCTCTCCCATTTTTTTCATAGTATCAATCATAAGAGAATGTATTCGTAAATAGATTCATAGTTGAATTTAGATTAAGTCAATTGATTTTTTTATTTTAATTTTCTTTTAGACATATATGAGAAATATCGAAGCACATAAATTTTATATCAATTTTTTTTCTTTGATATCGATGTTTTCGCTTCCCGACAAACAAACATCAACACAAACTCGAATAAAATCAATCACAATGTGAATAAAGTGGAAAATTAAATATGCAACAAAAGGTCAGAAATGAGAGAAACATCGAATTTGGCCAAAGTTGCCGAATACCGGTATATGTGTGGGTGTGTGAAATGAGTTGTTTGAGGGTCCACATCAACTGCTCGCTGTCCACCGAAGACTTGCCACCGAATCAGGAATAGCAACACCAACAATTGAAGCAGCCATTATTGCCTACGGAATGAAAGCTGACAGCAGCTCGTCGCACAAAGTCCCATCGAGAATAGCCAAAGCCATTAAACACAAAGCTCCTCTGCGAAGACTAATCAGAAGGACAAAGGGCGAGGCATTCAATGCGTGCGGCCCGCCAAAGCCGGTGAATTGGGTCCCACCCATCATCAGATCCCACGAATGAACTATTGAAATGCATCGTTCGTTTTCCTATGACTCTCGAGGATGAAATTGCTCGAAATTTCTTCTCTTTTTCTTTTGGCTACAATTATACTTTATTAATTAAAAAGAAAATTATATTTTAATTTATCCAAACTAATAAAATTATTATTTTTAAATTATATACATATATATATATATATATGTATATATATATACACACACGAGGTTTCGAGCAAGAAAGGTCCAAACCTGTTCAGGTGAGGCCATTAATAGCTCATCCAAGCGTATGAATTGCCAAAAACACAGTGTCATTTATTAGACATTGTTGTGTCAGAGTGCTCTCCTCATCACTGATGCCATTCTGCAACGATCTGATCGACATTGTTGGCAGCAAGTAGAAGGTTTGGCTTCTTCTCCTTCTCCGGTCCTTATGGCAGATTACTCTCGCTTGAGCACATATACAACTCACATTTTGAAGTGTGGAATTACGAGCTTCATCTATCACAAATTATGTGTCTTGTATAACTTCACAAAGAAACGATCTAATCATCCCATTTGATGATTTCCACTGGTGATGGCATGTTTAATCCGTAGAACAAAATAAAATCCTTGAGTTCTCATAAAGGGAAAAAGAACGGGAAGAAAATAGTTCTATTGTTGTAAAGAATCTAACAATATGCTTGATGCACGCCAAGTGCGACATAAAAAATATACAATAGAATCAAGTAAATATGATTGTCGTAAATATATTATGTCCTGGTTGGATCTTTGACAATTCGGAAAAACCAAAACAAAATAAGTATATGTAAATAAAAATGACTTTCTGATGCAACCGCAAATGAAGTAAGAGATTAAAGAACACATACTCTATTTTCCTGGAAAGCACTGGGGGAACTTCATGTTTGTTTAATCTTATTAAGAATAATACAATGCGAATTTATCAAGGCGAGTAGCTTCAAACTGGTGCTGCTATCTACTGTTGACGAAGAAGCTCAAGGGCATGCAGTAAAGTACTGCTGAACCTCTGTGTATCGAGCTTCACACCCTGTTTGAAAAAGTACAGCTCGATCATTCGATCCCACCCATGTTTTCTGTAAGCTTCCTTCTGATCGGAGAGCACTGGATCGCCTCTAGAAAACTGTTCTGTCAGCGTGCTCTCTTCTAGACTTATCATATACTGCAAGTAGTGCATCTTCATGCTTATGGTAGCCAATCCAAAGTCAATCCAACTTATCCCCTCCAATCCACCCAGAGGAATAACTTGGATCACCACTGCATTGGTTGGAAGGAAGACAAGATTAGTTAGCCCGGCGCCGTGAACTCCCAGCATCACATCACATGAGTTAACTATGCGTGCAAATTCAGCCAAGTCATACTTCGCCTCTGCAACAACAGCTTCGAAGCCCATCTCTTCCGCTTTCCGAACTATTTCATCGACATTGGCAAATATTCTCGTCCACTTCCTTGCAATAATTAGGATTCTAGGCTTCTTATCTTGATCTGGTCCCAGTTTAATCGTGGTGTCACGCTCCAATGCAAAAGATTTTCTGACATGCCTTCCAAAATCAACCATTGAGAGACCGTAAGGGGACCTTGAGGGCTCAATGCTCATCTCCTTGTGGAATTTAAGACCCACGATAACACGAGGATAGCAGCGAACTGTATGGTCCTGGTTGAAGTCAATGATCTCATAATTAGTGAGCGGTTTTAGTAGTTTTTGATACTTGTCATTCCATATTGGAAGAATCTCACTTATTAGAAACTGAACTTCCCCGTTGAACTGTTGGGATGTTGTAAAGATAGGGATAAGTATATCAGTGAAGTCATGGAAGAAGTTCCCCATATAACCACCAGTTGAGAAGACTATTGCCGGAACTGTGCTACGTATGGCACATTTAGGAGCACCAT